TTAATCATTGAATAACTTTTAGGGTGCCTTTAGAGTTTGTTGAGGCTTTGCTTGACATTGTTTCAATCGAGAGTTAAGTAAAGCTGAAGCTGTAAAGGTTGAATTCAAGACATAGATCAAAGACGTTTCCCAATTTTTCCCATGGCCTTCGGGTGAGGTTCTTGTTTGAATCGTTTTTAATTAATTAGCAGCAAAAAATTGACTATTGTTTTCTTTTTCTTATGGTCAAAACATTGAATATTAAGAATATTGATTAAGAATTTCTTCTTGAAAATTGTACGTCCTTGTATTTTAATTTGAAGTCAAAATAAATACTAATCAGAGCCTGCAGCTGCCTTTATAGAACTCCTGTTGGACGCAACAAGAACAAACTGCCTGCATTTAATTATTTTTAGAGGCATGGAATCAAAAGTAATGGAGCTGGGAAGTTCTTTGCCTGTGCCTTGTATTCAGGAGTTAGTGAAAGAGTTAGATACTGCAATTCCACCTAGATACATCCGTCCTGAACAACAGCAACAACAAATTGTTTCCGATGCTGATTCCATGCTGAAAATCCCTGTCATCGACATGCAGAGCTTGCTCTCTGGAGGATCCATGGAGGCGGAGTTAGCCAAGCTTGACTTTGCCTGTAGAGAATGGGGTTTCTTCCAGGTACACCTCTAGCTAAAAACTATATATTTGTAAATCCTTCACTTTTCTTCTGGACGAGTGCGAGCGACACTGCTCTCTTTGACCATACTCAACTCTCAACACTCTTTATCACTGATTAAAATTGTTTAACATGTAGATCAATAATAACAAAATACTTGACATGTAAGTGAACTAATTATCTACTAAGAGTATTGAAATGGAATCACAAAAGAGAGTTAGTGTTGCTAGCATTTCTCTTTCCCGTGAAAAGAAAGAGCATTTTGCTCACCTCTAAAACATTAAAATTTGGTTTCATATATCGTAGGAAGTCAGGATGAACTAATTTGTCCTACGTTAATTACTGCAGCTGGTCAATCATGGAGTTAGCTCTTCTTTTCTGGAGAAAGTAAAGAAAGAGATTCAGGGTTTCTTCAAGCTCCCAATGGAAGAGAAGAAAAAATATTGGCAGCACCCAGGAGAGGTAGAAGGATTTGGACAGGCCTTTGTTGTATCCGAGGAACAAAAACTTGATTGGGGTGATCTCTTCTTCATGACCACCCTCCCGTACTATCTCAGAAAACCCCACTTGTTCCCAAAGCTTCCGCTTCCTTTGAGGTTTAATTTCCCTTCTGTATCTCTTGTCAATTAATTCTCTATTTCTTAGTTCATTTTATTAAGCTGTATATATAATCGCAAATCTATTAAGGAAAAGACTATGAACTTAAATATAATATAAACGTCATTACCTATTGCAAATTTGTTTTTAATGTACAAACACTTTACCTGATATTTTTTCAAACTTTTACTCATCAGCCTTGATGCTCATGCAGAGAAACATTGGAAATGTATTCACTGGAGTTGAAAAATCTTGCAATGGCCATCATAACAAAGATGGGAAAAGCTCTTGCCATGGAGACGGAAGAAATGGAAGAATTTTTTGAAGAGGGGCTGCAGTCAATCAGGATGAACTATTACCCTCCATGCCCTCAACCAGACAAGGTTATTGGGCTCACTCCTCATACTGATACTGTGGCTCTCACCATCCTCCTTCAAGTGAATGAAGTTGAAGGTCTCCAAATAAAGAAAGATGGCAAATGGATCCCAGTTGAACCCCTCCGCAATGCCTTCATTGTGAACGTTGGAGACATTTTAGTGGTATTAATTATAATCCTAATCAGAAGATCTATTTTTTTACCAGCAGGAGTTTAGCAGAATTGATATACCACTTTTACTCATAAAATGTTATGTGTTTTGACAGATGATATCAAATGGAACCTATAGTAGTGTGGAACATCGGGCAACAGTTAACTCTGAAAGAGAAAGGCTCTCCATTGCTACATTTTACAGCACAAAATTTGATGGAGATATAGGACCAGCAAGGAGCCTGATTTCTCAGCAAAAGCCAGCGTTGTTCAAGAGGATGGGAACTGAAGAATACTTTAGAGGAATGTTTGCACGGGCGTCTGATAGTGGAAAGCCTTACCTTGATAGCCTGAGACTATAAGATCATAAATTTTCATAAATTCTCTTAAAAAAGGGGTGCACTTGTGTAGCGCATATATATATATAAAGTAATAATTTATTTATACACAAGTTTATTAATTATATTTACATAAAATTTTAATCATTTATTTTTTTACTTTTAATAGTTGAAATTTATTTATATTTATTAACTATAATTATTGTTTTATCTAAAAGTCATCATAAATCTTAACAATTAAAAGTAAAAAAAAAATAAATAATTGAGATTTTGTATAAATATAATATATAATGTATATGTAAATAGATCCATTTATACATGTATGGAATCAATGTGTACAAGTTATGAACACTGGCAACATAAAAATTGCTCAATGGACATGCGTTTGTAAATTTGGGGAGGCTATTGTTTTTTTTTTTTTTTTTAAGTTAAATGATGGGGTTGATATAACAGAGGATGATCTCTATTTCTTAAATTTTTTCCTACTTATTTTAAAATTTAAATTTGAGATATTTAATTTAGAGAATTAAGCTTTTAATCATCATATTGTATTCTTGAAATTAAATAAGTTGCTTGGCAATAGGAGCCAGCAATGCCCGATGAGATGGCCAAATTTCATTGCTTATCCTCAGTCGCATGGGTTGCACCCCTAATTATTTAATTGTTGTATAATTAAAAAAAGTCATTGAATGGTCGCTTAGAAATATTATTCTTCTTCTTCATCTTCTTCTTCTTCTTCTTGTTATTGTTTGGACATTCATAACAAATAATCAATTCTTTATTGACCATTATGAATATTTTTGCAAAGTTTAGGGATCAAATCGACATTAAGACTCCCTCTTTTTTCTTTAAATTGCCACTGGCTGCCGTTAACTAATTTGGATTGGGGTGTTAATGGTGTTTTGCACAACTTAAAAAGCATTTACATAAAAAAAAAAAAAAATCAAATTTTCTTTTTCATAGATTTAAAATTTTGTTGGAGGAAAATTTAAAATTTATTTTGAAGAGCACCTTGAAGTAAGTTTGAAAAAAAATTGAATATAAGAATAGCTTTTTGAAAATTTGCTTAAAAGTTATTTAAAGTAAGTGCATTTTAAGTTGGTTATATCCCCGATTCAGTCCCTCAACTTTCATTTTTAAACTAAAACTACCCTCGAACTTCAAAAAGTACTAAAAAAATCCTTAAACTTCAATTTTTGGGACCAATTTCATCCTTCCATCGACGGAAATGACAGATGGCACGTTAAGTTGCCACAAAATCAATTCTTGTTTGAAATCTTTAATTACGTGAAAAATAACTAGTCCACGTCATCCCTCATTACTCCGGTCATCCCTCATTACTCCGATAATCTATTACCACTCCAATCACCATCTACTTCTTCCCCAACCCTCCTCCCTAATAGAACTCAATAAATCTGATTCAAAAAATCAATTCCTCTACAAATGTATACCAGATCTGCAAAGAAAAATGAAAAAAACACCACATTCCTTCAATCAACATCAACAGTAACTAAATTTGAAAATTCAAGCAATCAGAAACCACACAAAACTCTAAATCCCATTCAAGCGTGACTGCAAGCCAACAAAGAAACAGAACAAAAAAACCCAGGCGGGTTCGACTCAAACCCAGGCGCTGGGTTCCTCGAGGAACGTTCGTGAAACCTCTAGATTTACTACTGTATCAATATGGTAATAAAATGGAAAACAAACAGACCGCTCAACAAGATACCTATGAATCCACAATCAGCGAATGGCATACAACCGTCAGCAAGCAATCTCAGCTCAGATCCGGAGCGAGGAGCTGAGAAGCAAAGCAACGATGACGACAAAGACAGCCGAGACAAATGACTGCGACAACGAGCCAGCACCAGCCGTCAGGGTCGGAGCCGGAGCATCGGCGGCCAGAGCCAAACCCAGGGCCTGGGTTCGATGGAACCCAGGGCCTGGGTTCGATGGAACCCAGGCGTTGGTGCTGGGTTCCTTCGAACCCAGTAGGGGAAGGGAAGGAGAAAAGGAAAGAGAGGGAGAAAAAGAAAGGAAAGGAAAGAAAAAAAAAATTTATTTATTAAATTATATTTTTGGTGTCCAGTCATAATATTTTTATAATTAAAAATGTCACATCACTCATTTTATTTTTAGGTAATATTTAATATTAATAAAAATTGAATTTGTTAACGGGAAATGTTGCCATGTCAGCACTTAACTGACGGAAGGATGAAATTAGTCCCAAAAATTGAAGTTCAAGGATTTTTTTAGTACTTTTTGAAGTTCGAGGGTAGTTTTAGTTCAAAAATGAAAGTTGAGGGACTGAATCGGGGATATAACCTTTTAAGTTTTACGAAACACCCTCAAACACTTTAATTTTTTTTTTTCCATTTTTGGTCAACTCATTATTTAGTAGCAAGTTAATCCCTTTGTTTTGTTGGCACATTTGATGATGTGTTGTATTAAAAGAGATAGTCATATTTTAAGTCCTTCTCCACTCAACGTCAGATGTTTCTTCGTTAACAATTTATTGATGCAGTAATTTATTCTATTAATTCATTTATTTTTTTGAATTAAAATATATGTTTAAAAGTTGAAAAGTTGACATGGCATGATTCTTTTTATTTCCTTTATTTTAAAATAACTATTTTTTACTTTAAAATTGTCCAAATTAATTATCATTTATTCATTTTTTAAGATAGATAATATTTTTTTCTATTTTAACTCTATTATTATCCATTCAGTTAATTTAATCATTCAATCACAAAAAGTCTCTCTTTATTTTTTATTTTTTTTAAGGATATTATAGATAAATACAAATATTATCTCTAAATCCTTAATTTAGAAAAAAAAAAGTAAAACATGATAATTATTTTGGAACAAAGGAAGTAGAAAATTGATCATAAAAATTAATTGTCATTAATTTTCGTTACTCTTTTTTCAGACAGTTTTTTTATTAGCAATTTTTCTTTTATTAGGGTAAGTACTAATTTAAATAATTAGTTAATAAAACCAATTAATATTATAATTACTAAAATGCCCTTTTTTTTCCAAATAAATAAAACAAAAAAAGTGTTTTATAGTCAGAATTGTTTTTGGATTGTAAAACAGTAACTCTTAAATAAGGGATCTTCTCCAATCTCAAATTGTCCCTAATAACATGCCAAAGAGATAGAAAACTCTTGAATCTCCTCCTCTCTTCTTTCATTGCAAGAAAAAAAAAAAAAAACACTACTAAGATAGGATAATAGTTGATGTATCTTTTAATTTAACACATCTCACAATACAGTTATTAAAAAATTATTATTTTTAAATTTTACTATTACATTTTACATCTACAGCTTCATGACCCTATAGCTAAATAGTGAAAATCCCATAAGTAAATGGTTTAGCCATAAAAATGTTTCTTGTAGCTTGTCATGGCTAGAAATGGCATGGTTAAAAGTTAACCATAGGATTTAATTATTCTATAGCTAAGAATAATATTTCTTGCCACAAGCACAATAAGTACGTGGCAAAATGTTTCAAACCTTTTGCCACAAAACTAATATTCTTGTGGCAAAAAGTTTTATTCTTTAGCCGCAAAAACTAAACCCATAGCAAACTACTTCATTCTTTAGCTATGAAAACTAAACTCATAGCAAACCATTTTATTATTTACTAAGAAAAATTGAATTCTATAGCTAAATTAGATAAGATTGAAGCAAATAGGTTCATATCCAAAGCTAAATGTAAAACTACTAGACACAAACATCAAGCTTGTGGCAAATAATAATAATAAATAAATAAATAAATTTCTGGATAAAATTAATTATACTGAAAATTTATATTTTTGTTTATAAATGTGGTAGATAACAGGAGATTAAGCTTCAAACAAACAATGCAAATCATTGTACAACAATGTGAAAAAGAAAATACCATCATTTTATAATTTAATGATCATCATGTAACATCAATATAGTATATACATTCATGTAAACTGGTCAAAAACCCTACTACAAATCACTAAATCTAAACATTGAATAATTTTGGCATAATAACTTTTCTAACTTATGTAACATTTTTAGCTATTTCTACATTTAGTTCATTTCTAATATGATAATCATAAAAGGAAAATCTCCAGTAATCTGCCTCTTGACCATCTTCAAAACTCTAAGTGAAAATTGCAACTCCAAATTTGATGAGAAGAGAAATCTGCCCATAACTACATAACTGAAGCAATAATAATATTGATGAGAGTATAAAACAATAGTTATTGGCCTATAACATCATTAACAAATTGTAACAATCACTACATGAAAAACTTTTAAAATCAAAGAGGAGATATTTACCCAAAAGGATGCATTGAGTTGTAGTACGCTTTAGCACAAAAGCTCAGAACAATCAATGCATAAAATGTAATAAGTGAATTAGTTTTATTTAATTTGTCCATGACAATCAAAAACAATGGTGAATTAAGCACAAAATTCATAAACATATCAAAATATTTGAAAAGAGAAATAATGTTAAAAAAAAAAAAAAAACCAACACAATCTAAATCTATTTTAAATGAAAGGAACTAAAGGGGAGTCTAGAAAAAGGATAATATGATAACAAAGGTAATAGAATAACTTGAGAAAGAAATAATCTGCTTTAAGATAACCTAGTCAACACATCCTAAACCCTAAATCCTAAACCCTAAATTTCACCCTCAATAAAATATGGGCTCCACTCTAATAAAGTTAAACTATTTATTTTTATTAAGATTCTAAATTAAGGTTGTCAATACTATACCAACAAGTGTACTAATTTTGCTATTGAAATGGTATATATCAAATACTAGAATTTGTTGTATACCATTTTAGATTTATCACTATAAATATTTATTTTTATAAAATTAAATAGATAATTTTAAAAGGTTAAACCTCCAATTTGGTCCCTGAACTATTGCACTGTCCCCCAATTTTGGTCTCTGAACTATTTTATAGACCCCTAATTTGGTCCCTACTGCTTACTGATTTAACCCCAAATTGATCATTTCATACAAAAAATAACTGACTTGTCCATTACTTAACAACAAAAAATAGTTACTTAACAACAAAAAATAGTTACTTAACGACCACGTGTCATGTTAATAACGAAATACGTCAATTGTTTTTTGTACAGAATGACCAACTTAGGGCAAATTGGTAAACAGTAAGGACCAAATTGGGGGGGGTCCGTACAATAGTTCAAGGACCAAATCAAGGATTTTTTTAGTTTAGGGACCAAATCGAGGTCCGTATAATAGTTCAAGGACCAATAGGAATTTAACCATTTTAAAATGATGATAAGAGAAACCAATGTTTAATTCCACCCCCAGTATTAGCTTGTCACAATATAGGCATTTTGTTTGATTCCTCTTGCTTAGGATAATCAAACAATGGGCCAAGCAGAATCATCTATTTTAGATGGGGTAGATCCAATAGAGTCACTTGTAGCAATACTTGAACCATTAGTATTTATGATGATACCTTATAAAGACAATCACCAAGACAGAAAAAAAAAAAAAAGAATTACGCAACAAAAATTAAATGACAAATAACAGGATAGACCTCTTAATTAAATCAAACTATAACCATATAAAATGGAAAATGCAAACTTTTTTGCGATCACAAAATAGTAGCAAAAGGAACAAATATTCTTGCAAAAGTGCATATTAATAAATTGTCACGCCCCAAAACCCAAATCCAGGGACGTGGCAGACGTCGTGCACTCGTAAGAGGGTCCCACAAATGCACAAGGCTTGGAACTTCATCATGCCACAATCTGATACCACAAAACCTGAAGATAAAATTATAAAATTTGCTCTGATGTTATAAATCTCCAAATAAAGTCTAACTTACAAGATCATGATTTATATCTAAAATCTATGCTCAATTTACTAGATGGCTAGCCTTCTAACTCGTCACTCCCCTCGTTTTTCCCCGTCCTTGACTTTGCTTCCTGAAATGGTGGATAAGGAAAAACTATAAGATAACTCAGTAAGTAAACATGGATAGCCCTTAATTAAACTGATAACATGCCAAACAATATAATCACAAAAAATAGGTACAAGTACGGAAACGAAATAGACGTCTCCTCTATAGGTCATGGCCAGTGTTACAAACCTCCCACTGACAGGCACACGATTTACTAGTGTATAATCCCACTAGCAGGATTACAGAAATACTAGTGTTTAACAACTCCCACTGGCAGGAGGAATTGGCTCTACAGAAATACATGTCGACTTGTGCTAGCGTTTATAAACCTCCCACTAGCGGGCACACGAATAACATGACCATATCGGAGACAAAACAGGCAGAAGTTAACAGGAAAATCATAATTCACAAATCATTTCCAAATCATCAAAGAAGTTAAGTAAACTCCAAGAAGGCATGCTCAAATCAATAAAAAGAATAATAATTTCATTTCAAATCGATCATATAAACGGGTTTAGTCCCGCCACCACTTCAAAAACAAGTTAAAATGTGCTTTAAAATCAGAGGGCATTACCATAATTTACTTACCTCAAATCCGTAATACCGAAGGCTTAATCCCAATGCTCTAAGCCATAACAGCACCTAATATTCCAAATAAATACATTCAGACTTCGCTAGAATTATTAGCACAATCTTGCAAATTTACTAACCAATGAGCTTCACACGAAATTCAATCATATGACCAAACATCTCAATTTCATTCTCAGTATAACTAACATTTAAACCCTCCTATTATTGGCCATTAGTGCGTAAACAGTACCTGTGAACAGTAACTGCAACTTCCAAAAATTGGCAAAACCATAACTAATCTCACGGGATTTCTCGCCAAAATCTCACAGCAATCAAATCAAGCAATTTATATATGAATTAAGCTTAATTATGCTCTAATTACTACCGAAATTCATCCCCATTTTTCAGCAAAATTCAAACAGCACAGGGCAGCAAATAAATGGACAAAATTCAGCAACTAATTAATGAAATTTCGGGCTTGGAGGAGCTATCAACATACCAAAATTCCAGCAAAACTGGAGCTGCAGTTTGGGGGAAGGCCGGCGGCAATCTGCAAGGAACTCACGGAATTAACCCAAAATTGGAGAACCAAGAGAAATTAAGGTAAACCCAAGCCAATTCAAGGAAGAACAGAGGAATTGGTGGCTGTTCTTACCAGAAATTTTGAAGAACTCACACCCAACAATGAAGAGCAGCCGACGGAAGGATAGAGCAGAGCAGATCCGGAAATTCCTGCAGGGGGGAGGTTTCTAAGCTCAAATCTTGTTCTTAAACAAGAAAAGAAAGGCAAAAATCATCAAGCTTTACCCTTTTTTTCCAAGGGGAGGTGTGGGTCGGCTTGGGTCTTCTTGTTCAGTGTAGGGAGAAGAAGAAGAAGAGCAGAATCGGGCTGAAGAAGAAAGAGGAAAAGGAGAAAAAAAATAGCTGATCCTTATCCAAAATTTCCTCTTTTAAGTCCTTCAAGTTTGGATATTTTAGCTAATAAGCCCCAAAATAATATTTTCTCTCACAAAAACCCTTACTTAAGTGCTAAATATCACAAAATTTTGGGATATTACATAAATAAATAAAAAAAGAGGAAAAATTCAATACCAAATATGATACATCCATCCCAGAAAGTATCACTTTCCACCTACATCTACCAAAACTAGGAAAATAGAAATCACAAAGAAAAAGCTCTTGAACACTAAACATACAGTAGAATTTTGGGGATTCCAAAAATAGGTAATTAAATAGAAATATTGATACTAAAGTTTTTTTTTGCACAGCAAAGCATATTTTTATTGATGACATGAGTACAAGGGATACTCTACCCTTAAGACATAAAATTCAAAACTGATAATCATCCATTTAAAGATTATCCCTCCTTACTCGTTGTGTCTGTCCTGCTCACTCTTTTCCTTTTCCTTCCACTATTAACTGTAAGACATGCAGTTGGATTGTTAAGCCAATCAGAAAGGGTAAATGTGCAGCTTACCTTTCTTGCTTTAATCCATAAAAAAGCTCTCAATTGTATGAGTTCCAGTAGCTTTTCTTTTTTCTGCTCTGATTGTTGAAATATCTTCTGATTTCTTGCTAACCACATCGACCAGACCATAGCATTCCAGATGCAGTCCCAACCTTCTCTAATGCGTGAATCTTTGTTCCCTTCCCCAAGCTTCTCGAATGTATCCCAACAATTATTATCCAGCCTTACATTGATCCCCCACCAAGCAGCACATGCCTTCCACAACCACTTGACCAACCTGCATTTTAAAAATAGGTGATCCGAATCTTCCTCCTCTGCTTCGCACATGACACACTTGCTATCTTCCCACCATTTGGCGCACCCTCTTTTCAGTAAATTAAGTTTGGTTGGGATTCTATCTAATAAAACTTGCCAATTAAATGCTAATATTTTATTTGGAAGAATTGGATTCCACACCCTCTTAAAAGTTGAAGCTCCACTTGATCCACCGTGGTCTTTTATTAGCAGTGAGTAAGCTGATTTGGTTGAATACTGGCCATCTTTGTTGTGTGTCCACAGCCACTTGTTTGGGATACCTGGTGAGATTCTCGTGTCTTTAATCATGACGTTGAGTTCCTTCGCATTATCAGCTTCCCATTCGAACATGCTTCTTCTCCAGGCAAGGTCCCATTTCCATATTCCATCCTTTGTATTGCCCATTTGGTTGCATTTCTTCTCCTTACCTGTTGATAAAATATACAGTCTCAAGAATTTATTAGCAAGACATCCCTCCCCGCACCAATTATCCCACTAGAAACTCACCTTAGTCCCCCCTCCTAGTTGTATCCTAAAACCCTTTGCCAGCCACCCTTCTCTGTCTCGAACTATTGTGTTGAGACAACACACATCCCTCCACCATAATGAGCCTACACCTCTTCCCTCTCTTACCCAATCCAGCCAATTATCCCTTTGTTTCCCGTGTTTTCCTTTAATAACTTCTCTCCACAAACCCTCTTCACTTGATGCTAACCTTCCCCACCATTTACCCATCAATGCTAAATTAAACTTCCTCAATTCCTTCACCCCCAGCCCTCCTCTTTCTTTTTGTTCACATACCTTCTCCCAACTTACCCAATTTATTTTTTTGTTTTCTCCCATCCCACCCCATAAAAAAGATCTACGAATTTTATCAATAGCAAGAAGTATACCTTTCGGGATTAGGTAGACAGACATCAAGAAGATTTGAAATAAAACTATGATTACTAGAAACCTTTTGCACCAAAAAAAAAAAAAAAATTTTGAATCCCAAAAATAAAACTCTAAAGTAAACAACAGGAGCATTGAAGAAAGAAACAAGGAATTTAGCAATTTAGTGACGTACTTGAAGAATGGAGTTGGTAGGGTTGCTGGACAGTTTGAGTCTACTTTATTTCTGGGGTCGGATTGTATAATTGGATAAGGAAATTCGAAAAAAGGACAGAACTTGATTGACAAAAACCCTTCTTAAGCCGATCAACTTTTTCGACAGTAAATGACAAGCCCCTGGACAAAAAAGGAGGCAAATGAGCTCTCCAACGGTCCAACCCCATGTTTAATGCAAATTAGCTCATCTGCTAACTAATTCCTTGACGCCATTTGTTACTAGCCTTTACATGTTTCTTTCTTGCCTTTACTTCATCTGTTTTAGGGGATAATATATTTTTAATTAATTAATTTTTTAGTAAATTAATTAATTAATATTATACAATATTCATTTGTTTAGGTGACATTTTTTACTAAAACAATGACATGTTTTTTATTTTACTTAATAATGCATTTTACTTCAATAATTCTTATAAATCATTTTTTAAATCTAATTAAACCACCTAATTAATAAAAAAAATTTAACATATTCCTTAATTTTCTCATTAATAACTCTCTCCATTCAAATTTAATAGACGTAATTTGCTATTTGGTGCTTTTAAATTTAGTTGTCCACTTTTCATTTTTAGGATGTCATTAATTGTATTTATTCCTATTTTACCATTTTTAAAAAAAGATAATTACAACATATATTAAATAAAAAGTCTTATTTAAGTGATATTAAATTAATGATAAATGTAAAATTTTATCAATAAATTATTAAATTTCCATTTTATTGGGAAAAAAAACTTGCCTGCTAAAAATGAATAGAGGGAGTATTATGAGTTGGTTTTTTGAACCTCTACTCTAAAAGACTAAAAGTACATGTTAAAAGTATATAAATATATATTTTTATCATAAATTTATATTGCAAGAATAAAAATTGACCTTCAATTTATTAATTATCTAATTAAATTCATCAACGTGGTAATGACATTAAAATTAATGTTAGTTTTTATTACATTTTTCAATATAAATTAATAACAGAAAGGTGTCCTTTAAGGTACAAATGGTACAAATCAGATCGTCTTAGCACTTTATATGTCAAGATTCTTTGTAAAATTATTTAAATACCTTTAATGAACATTTTTCTGTGTTGATTCACTAAAAGTATTTTAGTTTTTTCATTATCATTTTTGGTATTTTAATTGTCTTTTAAACAATTTTAAAATGCAATTAAAATACCAAAAATGATAATGTAAAGATTAAAGTATTTTTAGTGAATCAACAAAAAAAATGTCTATTAAGGGTATTTAAATAATTTTACAAGAACTCCTAACATTTAAAGTGCCTAGACATACTAATTTTTGCTTATAGGTACACCTTCTTGTCATTAATTTATATAAAAATGTAAAAACTAACATTAATTCCTAGAGTCATTGCCACGTTGATGAATTTAAGTTTAAGTTTATAATTGATAAATTGAGAAGGTCAACATTTATTTTTTCAATATAAATTTATAATAAAAAATATATTTATTACACTTTGAACATGTACTCTAAGAGTAGAGACTAGAAAAGCTCTTTCATAATAATTAATAAGAAAAATAAGGAATATGTTAAAAATTATTTATTAATAAGTGATTTAATTAAATTTAAGAAATGATTTATAAAGATGATTGAAGCAAAATATATTATTGATTAAAATAAAAAATATATCATTCTTTTATTTAAAAAATATCACCTAAACATCTGTATATTATATAATATTAATTAATTGATTTACAAAAAAAGTTAATTGATTAAAAAAAATATTATCACTTAAAACAAATGATGAAGTAAAGGGAAGAAAAAAGACATGTAAAGGCATGCAATGCCACGCAAGCTACTAACAAACGGCGTCACGGAAAGCAGAGGGACTGATTTGCACCAAAGTGAGGTTGGAGGGCTTATTTGCCTCTTTTTTAGTTCAAGGGCTTGTCACTTGCTTCAAAAAAGTTGAGAGGCTTAAGAAAGATTTTTGCCAACTTGATTCGAAGGGAAAGAAACATAAGGAAATAAATAAACTGAAAATAGACAAAAGACTCAAAAGAGACAAAAAAAAGATTGTAGATTGAATTAAAAGAGAAAAATATCAACAAATGCATGCAAAATAACTTACTAGAATTGAAATCGGGTCATTCCCTTACAGATACTTTGAAAATACAAAATGTTAAAATCAAAACAGAAAAACTTGCCAAAATATGATCTATGTTATGTAATCAAGCTATATCTCCATTGTTTTTGTTCTGAAAGTGGAAGAAGTAGAGATAGGAAAAGAGAACAGAAACCGGCAAGAATTGCAAAAGAGAACTGGAAGTCTGGACTTGAAGAAGTTGTTGAATATGGGTTTCTATTTTAGATTAAACCCCAAATAGCTAAAACAACATTGTTTTGCTTGTGGAATTCCTTTTTTTTTTTTTGTTTTTCAAATTCAATATGATTTTGTACCAATATAATTTCACGGTACTGATTGGTATGCAAAATACCAATCGGCATGTTGGAAATTGACCGAAATGAACAAACTTTGACCAAATTTGAATCAAAACCTATATTGCTTTAGATTTTAAAGAAAAAAATTTATTATGATAAAGTGTGACATTGTGGCAGGTCACGTTGGGTAAGATGTTGATTGTGCACTAAATAGGATGGAAATTGTGTTTGACTAATGGTATAACATTAAAATATGTTAAATAGTGGTGAATTCCCTCAAATCATATTATTGAGGAGCTAATACCCTTAAGTTTTTAGGTGAAGGGCTAATAACCTCAAAATTTATAAGTTAAGGGGCTCAATAAGGGGTTAAGCCTAAATATCTAAAATGGTGTCTGAACTTTTAAATCTATACCGAAATGACCCTTAAACATTGAAAGTACTAAAATAATTGTTAAACTTAAATTTTCAGTACCTTTTCTGTTGTTCTGTTAACAGAAAGACAGTGTCAATGTGACATTATTTCTACATCAACTCTATTTTAGAATTAAATGAAAATGATAATGTGGCATTTTTTACCATTAAATCTGTTTTCAATGTATATCTATCTATCTAGGTTAAAGACCAATTTTGGTCCCAAGACCAATTTTGGTCCCTCAACTTTAAGGTTTTGCACAATTCTTTTCCTCAATTTTTTTATGCACTTTTTCTATCCCTCAACTATAAAAAATGTACTTTTTTAGTTTTTTTATCAATTAGTCTATTAATTTTATCTAAATATGCATATTTTTAGTCATTTAACTTCTAATATATACACATATTTAAGTTGAGGGATTAAAAATATGTACATTCGAATAAACTTAATAGAATAATTGACAAAAAGACCAAAAAAATGCATTTTTCATTGTTGAGGGAACAAAATAGTGCATAAAAGAGTTAAGAGACCAAAATTGGAGTTTAACTATCTATTTATATCTATATATATAATGCTACCCTATAAATTAAATAGGGTATGCATTTGTACATATATAATAATATATAATATAATCTATATATATTTAATTAATAATAATAATATAATAATATATATTTATTTATTATTTATCATATAATTGTTATATACAATTACTAATAGACGATTCATTTTCTTTTGTCTGAAATTATATCATTATGAGTCAAATTATTATTTATGTTTGGTTTCATGTTTATCTTCAACAATAAAATTTTAAGTTATAACTATTGTTGTAATTGTTTTACTACTTAATGTAAAAAAAGTAATAAAAAATTAATAATATGACAATTATAAATTTATTTATTTATTTATCTATATATATAAAATGCTATTCTATACATTAAATAGGGTATATATTTATATATACATTTATAATATATAATTATATTATATAATATATTTTTATTTATTATTTATTGTATAATTTATTATATAATTATATACTAATTAATTTTTTAGTAGTAA